GTTATGAAGGACAGATCTATCGATCCTCGAAATCATGATCAGCAATGCAACGATTGGCTGACGGCATAGCAGCGTAATGACATCATCTGATTAATATTCAATTATCCATGTGAGCAAAATTACATCAAATTAGCAGTAAACGGCTTGTTAAATATGACACACGATAACCTTCCACATTTGTTTTGAGCTGCAGACACTTTCATTTGTCAAGACAAGAGTATTCATCATGTAGCCTATTTCAATTCAAATCAATGTATTTAGTTCTACATTTAGAAAAGATTTGCTTTATTATAGTAGCCGTTTTTTAATCGGTGTATAAAGAATAACTGGTTGTTACAAAAGCGTTTTCATATTGGTAAAGGCATCTGCAACTTTTGTGAAGCATCAAATCACCGGCATATTAACTATCAAAACATGTTTATGAAAGCATAAATGTATTATTGCTTTAAAAAAAAGTCACATATTGTGCATTTCTATTATACACAATTTGTTCTAAAGCGATCTAAAAAGTTCATATCAATAAGTTTTCTCTTTGCACCAGATGGCAGTCTTTGTACTTTCATTTCGAGGGTGCAGATTGCATACGTTTTATTAATATGTATAACTTTATTTATTTTATTAATGAATAACTTTATATATATATTTAAAAATTATGTATTATTTTCCCAAGTGTATAACTACTACTGTAAGAAAATATCAGAATTCGGAACATACTTTCTGTATTATCTTTGCTTGAACTGAGCCGATCTAATCCTGTTTATATGAATTGAACCTGCTCCCGATCAGGTTTGACCTAGCAGAACTGTTGCCATGACAACAACTCTTGGATCAGCTTTGAAGAACGAAACGATCCTGGATCGTGTCAAATCGTCAATATCCAAATCCAGCTAACTGAGTAATCCACGTACGAAGAACGGACCCCTGAACAGCGCTTTTCCCAAGAAACAATGAAAATACAAACAATTGATGACTGCTGCAATTTTAAAAAGGGAGAAGACAGTGTCGACAGGATTCGAACCTGCGCGGGGAGACCCAAATGGATTTCTAGTCCATCGCCTTAACCACTCGGCCACGACTACAAGACTGCCATGTCTTCATGTGTAGTACATATATTGTGCATCCAGATGAAGCTTGTAACTGCTTCATTTAAAAGGGTTTAAAAAAATGACTCGACTCTAGGAATCGAATCCTGTCTTGGAGTCGACTCCGACACTACTTCCATTGAGAGTCGAGGAAACAACTCTTTTGAAGTCGACTCTCAATTCCCTACAGACTGATTCAGAAATCCATTTATTTTTTGCCATTGTACTCATGTACACAATATTAAATCTCATTACATTTTTACTTTTTATAAATCATGTTTTTTGAACCCAAGAAACAACATAAAACTTTATATTTAAAAATTACTAAAACAGAATAATCATTGCAAATAAACTCTTCAAATTCTATTTAAGTTACTTGTTTCCAAAACATCCCTGAATAAAAGTACAAAAAAATGTAGCAAGTACAGCACAGCATTGCCACAGCATTGGGAAATTGGATATTAGATTATATATCAGCACAATGCACAAGTGTAGTAAAGTTGTACATGAATATACTGCAAATTGTACTGTTGTTGATGTAATTTTATTAGAATTTTATAGTTCATTATTTTGCAGTTGCACATAATTTTACCTCATTTATCCTCCTTTATAATGCTGTTATACTGCAGTTTTGCACTTATTCACGGTATTCACGGTGTTGGTCATTATGAAATATGGTTTTCAGGTGATGATGTTTTTCACATGTGGGTTCATGTGATCACATGCTGTCCACATGTGGACAGCATGAATTTTACATGTTGTCCACATTTGGTCACATTGACTTCAGATGTGGTCAAAGGTGATCACATGTGGCCCTATGAACTTCACATGTTGTCCACATGTGGCCACATGAATTTCACATGTTGTCCACGTGGTCACATAAACTTCACATGTGGTCACATGAACACATGTGGTCGTGAGCTTCACATGTGGTCACATAAACTTCACATGTGGTCACATGAACACATGTAATCGTGAGCTTCACATGTGGTCACATTAACTTCACATGTGGTAACATGAACTTCAAATATGGCCACACGAACTTCACATGTGGCCACATGAATTTCACATGTTGTCCACGTGGTCACATAAACTTCACATGTGGTCACATGAACACATGTGGTCGTGAGCTTCACATGTGGTCACATAAACTTCACATGTGGTCACATGAACACATGTAATCGTGAGCTTCACATGTGGTCACATTAACTTCACATGTGGTAACATGAACTTCAAATATGGCCACACGAACTTCACATGTGGCCACATGAATTTCACATGTTGTCCACGTGGTCACATAAACTTCACATGTGGTCACATGAACACATGTGGTCGTGAGCTTCACATGTGGTCACATAAACTTCACATGTGGTCACATGAACACATGTAATCGTGAGCTTCACATGTGGTCACATTAACTTCACATGTGGTAACATGAACTTCAAATATGGCCACACGAACTTCACATGTGGCCACATGAATTTCACATGTTGTCCACGTGGTCACATAAACTTCACATGTGGTCACATGAACACATGTGGTCGTGAGCTTCACATGTGGTCACATAAACTTCACATGTGGTCACATGAACACATGTAATCGTGAGCTTCACATGTGGTCACATTAACTTCACATGTGGTAACATGAACTTCAAATATGGCCACACGAACTTCACATGTGGTCACATGAACTTCACATGTTGTCCACATGTGGTCACATAAACTTCACATGTGGCCATGTGTGATCACATAAACTTTACATGTGGCCATGTGTGATCACATAAACTTCACATGTGGCCACATGAACTTAACATGTTGTCCACATGTGGTCACATAAACTTCACATGTGGTCATGTGTGATCACATGTTGTCACATGTGATCACATGTGGTCACATGTGATCACATGTGAAATTCATTTGACTTTTCTGTAAGGGCAGAACCAAAAATGGTTCTTTCAAGTGCTTCATATATGGAACCCCAAAAAGATTAAAAATAGAACCATTTAAGGGTTCATTAAATAGATCCCCAAATGGTTCTTTCAAGCGCTTCATATATGGAACCCCAAAAAGGTTATAAATAGAACCATTTAAGGGTTCATTAAATAGAACCCCAAATGGTTCTTTGAATTCAAGTTACATGGTTCTATTTAGAACCATTTGAGGGTTCTTTATTTATTATTGAATAAAAAATAAACCAATGCAGAAAATTCAAATTGTTTAAATTTATTCAATTTACTTCACAAAATAAGTTTTAAATAATATTTAAAATTGCACCTCTGCGTACTTTGTATAAGATCTACCTCTAAACATTATACATTTTTACTATTTAATTAGTAAACATAATTAACGGCATTCAACAATCTAATTCTAATGATTTCACTTTTTATTAAACATTTGTAAGCTTGCTTACTGATTGAACAAATACAAAATTTAACTTTCAAACATTTCTAAAAAGATTAAAAATGTATTACAATGCAGATAGAAACAATACACAAACATCTATTAAATAACACTACAATTTCAACAAGTTCACGGTACATGTATGTACTGGTCATGGCAACATCCATTTTTATACATAATTTTCAATAATAGTTATTGAAGAAAGAGCTTAATCGCACACAAAACTTTGCAAAATGATTAGACAAAACATTGAGAACAGCCATTCCACAACCTGTAGCATGTCCATGTTTGCCGGCCTCTCTTATAACGTAAATAGTTTTGTCCATGGGTGGCACAGTGGCTCACTGGTTAGAACTGTCACATCACAGCAAGAAGGTCACTGGTTCGAGTCCTGACTGGGTCAGTTGGTGTTTCTGTGTGAAGTTTGCAAGTTCTCCCAGTGTTTGTGTGGGTTTCCTCTGGGTGCTCCAGTTGCCCCCACAGTCCAAAGGCATGCGTACGGTATTGGTGAATTGGCCATAGTAAGTGAATGTGTGCAGGTGTATAAGAGAGTGTATGGGTGTTTCCCAGTGCTGGGTTGCGGCTGGAAAGTGAAGAGTAATTGCTAATTCATTCTACTGTGGTGCCTCTGATAAATGAGGGAGCAGAAGGATAGTGAGCGAGTGTTGGCCATCGTAATGCTGACACTTCAAGCCTTGACGGAATCAGGAGAGCTGTTAGGATCTTTGGATTTCTGTAAAACAATATTTCAATGCTGAGTACTTCCTTCTTTCCTTCCCTTCTATTGGGCCATTTCTTTTAAAGATGTTTCTGTGTCCTTCACTAAGTCCTTATATGCAGCATCCTAAATTAAAACATTTTGTTTACTTTGTGTAAGTGACACATTTTCAGCAATACAAGTACTTTAAAGTCATCAAAAATACAGAAATACAGTGTAGACAGCTGTAATATATTTTCTGTTTAATCTGCATCTCATTTGTTACAGAATTTAATGAAATTGACATTTCTGAGTGACCTCAATTTAGTATGAACATTAAATAAAACAATAAAATTAGAATAAGAACAAAACAAAATAATTGTTTATCAAATAACATACATCATATTTGGCAGATACTTTTATCCAAAGGGACGTAGATTGTGTTTATTCTATACATTTATTAATATGTGAGACCTGGAACACATTTGGCATTGCTAATGCATTGCTTTACCAAATGAGCTTTAAAATGTCATATACACAGATTTTTCATATCTATTTGGCACACAATGTAACATTGTTTGGTTACTTACAAGCTGTGGCACTCCAAGAAGAAGAAACTTCTCCATTAGTTTTGCAGACCCCTCCATAATCTGTACTCTGGAAAATAGTGTGTTTCATTTGGTTCTTGACTTATTCGTAAACGATGTCGCATTCTAGGTCCATCACAATCTGAGGTAGGAAGAAAGCATTTGTAGAATGTGTAAATATGAATTTAAATCACAGAATTAATCTTGACATTAAATGTATTGAAATGAACTTGCCTTGTGTTAAGTCCCTCAGAGTCCAGTTCACTTCCTTTTGATCCCATCATTATGAGCTCACCACTGAAATCCTTTCATTTTTACATTTGTTTTGAAGACATTGCAACAAGGAATCCTGTAGGCAAATTTACACCTTTCAATACATATTTCTTCTCTGCAGGACTTTTTTTAAGCAACGACCTTAATATTCTCACTGTATTAAAACAGCAGTAGTAAGTAATAGAATATTTTTTTGATAAATATATTTTTTCAGTACATAACAACCAACAAGTGTGAATTATGCATGTTATAAAATACAATACTTTACCAGGTGTGCTTGAAGATGATGTCAAACAATTATGGATGTGACACATATTTTTCTTTAAGCTGGGATCCTTCTTCTTCAAAGCTACTTGTGTGCAGCAGATCAAATTTGGAAACTTAATATGGGTCCCATGACACTTTTCTGTAATGATAAATACAATCTTGAAGTCTTTTATAATATTTATTTCATTTTACTGACCACAATACAGTTTGTTTGGATTTTAAAACAATGATACATACCAAGCACAAGTTTTATGAAGCAGTTCAGTTTCCAGGCTGTTTGAAGAAAAATAAAATATACATTAAAATATTTATTTTAAACTTATTTTGCACTATATATATATATATATATATATATATATATATATATATAATTTCACAATACATTTAGTCTGCATTTTTGTCTTTTATAAATAAGACCTGATCTTTCATCTATGGATTGTTAAAATATGTTTGGCTTTTTAAAGGTTTCAATAATATTTAGGGGCGGACTGGCCATAGGGAGAACTTGCCACCGTGACTGGCCTCCCGCGCGTGCACAGACTCGGGGCACGAATCTGCCTGTGCGTGCACGAGCGGTGCACTGCTATCTTGCGGTTTTATGCAGACTAGCGGGAACGTCTCAAAAGCGGGCAGTAATGTCCACTTCTTTGCAGAGTTTAGCTCAATCACTGATAAAACACACACGAACCAAGCTAAAAGTGAGCGTTTGTTCAAGGTTGGAGCTAAAAACAACACGAAAAACACAATGAAATCGGCACAAATCTAGTTAATTTTAAAGTAACATGCACATGCTTCATTCACGCTCTCTCAAAGCTCGCCTTCAAATAACACAGCTGTGTACTGTTATCGGTAATTTAATTAGTAGTACTGACAAACAAGTATAGCGATATTGAAACTTATTTCGAATAAAAAGCAGAACAAATTCAACTTAACAGATTTCTGAACCGAAGGGTGACGACCGAGGTCATCGCAAGCACAGTGTTTATCCATATTAACGCTAAAGTTGCCCCCATTCAATCTGTATCACCATATAACACGAGGGATTTTCTATCAAATAGAAACCTTACTTCATAATACAAAATATTTCACTATATATATTAAATGTACTAACATACCTGAATGATGAAGCTGAAATAGTGGACTTCTCCTTTCAAAAAATTAACCTTCTCTCGAGGCTCTTCACCACCTGTCCATGACGATGTCCTTGTCAATGACTGACGTCACCAGAGGGCTTTTTTATGATTATTAGTTTCAAATAAATTATTTAACCATAACAACATGTTACTGCACAGTCTAAATAAATTGGTTATTTTATTTTTTTCACAAAATAATTTGTCAAAAATGTTAAACATAAACTAGGCCTATAAGTTATATGCTATTGTACAAACCTGCATAAAAAAATCCCATCACACTGTACACTGATTAAGTTTTTGACGACAGCATTCATTTTATTAGGTTTTGACTCAAAAAGCTTTGTCTCTCTGTGTTATAACTTATAATTATTTCATAATCTTTACTAAATAATTATGTTATGATTCAAAAATTATAGAACCGTTTTAATCAAAAAGGTTCTTTGCAGTCAAAGGGTTCTAAATGGAACCATTTTTTGGGTAAAAGGTTCTACTGGCCAAGTATAGAACCCCAAGGTTCTATATAGAACCTCAAGGAACCTTTTTTTTAAGAGTGTGTGTGTGTGTGTGTGTGTGTGTGTGTGTGTGTGTGTGTGTGTGTGTGTGTAAATATTAATAATTGAATATTAGAACTTCAGTAATGTAAATAAATAACTTTAAAGAATAATGTACATATGTAAATACAAACGACCAAACATTTGCTCTCTAGTAATGTAAATATCTAAATATAAATAACTTTAAACAATTGCACATGTGTAAATTTAAATAAATTTGATGAATTGGTAAACATTCTGTACAGTGATGTGTAGATATAACATTAAACAATCTTTAAATTAAAACTGTGCGTGTGTGTGCACGTGTTTGTGTGCATGTGTGTGTTTTGTTTACATCTGTGGGCATCTTGGAAGGTAAAAGTAAAAAAATAAAAGTTCAGCTTTTTCCCGAATGGTATGAAACATTCTGATGTCTTTGTAAATGCGTTAAATCATCATGTCATCTTTTGCATGAATGATGAAGTCACACCAGTCCAAACCTGAAATGAGCATTTGTCCTGGGACTTGCCAGTAGTAGGCATGTTGCTGTTTCAGTTCTGGTGTGCCATTGTGAAATTTGAGGTAAAAACAGTCATTAAAACTTTTGACGTTGGGACATTTTATTTATAAAAGGCCTAAAACAAGGTGCTCGTTGTGGTCAAAAATGATTCCATCTGGAGAGGACCCCAGCCAAGGAGCATCAGGGTGAATTAAAAATCCACATGGCTGGTAATTTACCTCTCGCAGGAAGCAGTACTCCATAACTGCTTGAGACTCCATTTGAAGTCCTCGCTTCATGTCGGCTGTCTGGCGAGTTATTTTGTGCATTCTTTAGGCCGGGTGTTCAGCTGAGGTATGGCCACGCACATGACAGACATCTTACTGAAGCGTGACGACGTTATCCGGATTTTCCTAACAGAATGCCAATCAAGGCATGCACTCTGATATCTGGTGGCTTGCTCAACATAGTGAGCCATTTCTGAAGTTACGGTAAATGACCTCATGTGAAGTTGTTCCTGATTATTATGAACAAGCAAGTAGACAGGTGGCTGTAACCATCTAGTGGCAGTGGTGGTGTTGGTGGGGCATCACGATGAGGAACAATGTTGCGCTTTGTTGCTGTTGGTATGACAGGACACTTCCAACTTGAATTATTCCGAAGGCAGAATCCACCCGAAAATCCTCACTCGACATCCCAATTGTGGTGACCAACGGGGCTGTAGAACTGGCAAAGTCTTTGTAAATTTCTGCCACTTGAAGGACTGAAAGATCAGACAGCTCACTGGTGACACCTTTATAAAGTGTACTCCTTAAATGGAACAAAAGACTTAATCAAAATTTAATTACTTAGTTCTAAATTTGTTGTCCTATTCACATTTTATGTAAAACCATATTCATCTTCTTGAGTTGATTTTAAAGTATTTTATAAAGCTGTTGTGGTGTCTTTTACAAGAATGGATAATTACCCCATTGTGATGCAGTCACATATCTGTAATATTTAAGAATAATATTGCGTTAAAGAAACAGATCTCATAGAGCAGGGCTATTTTAAATCATTGGTCTGACAAACATACATGTAAAATAGAATTGAAAATAGAATTTACAAGTGTCCCACCTTAATCCTTCAGCAAGTTTCCTCTCTTTGCGCCTCGCAGACAAAATCACCATGTTATTGACTGGACCTGGCTCGACTCCCTAGGGATACACAAGGGGCTCGTTAATAATAACAATAATAATAAAAAAATAATATGAGTATTAAACGCCAATACTGATGTTCTAATATTATTATTATTATAGGACAATTAAGCCATTTCTGACCACTGTCCTGATTAATTACTGCTCAAAAAAAAAAAAAAAAAATTATATATATATATATATATATATATATAATTTTATAATGAAATTGTTCATGATTAAACTCTTACTTGTTTGTGCATTTCTCTAGCTCTTCTTGAAGCTCTTGATTTTGTGTCTTCATTGATCTATATTTTCTTGAAGAAGAAGAGTTACTACTTCATCTTTGCTGTCAGAAAATCTGTGATCTCTGTCATGTGTGTTTTTTTTTTTTTTTTGGGAGGACCCATTTCAAAAAGTGGGGCCTCTCTCTTCTTCTCTGTCTTCTAGAATTTTTAGAAGGGTTTTTCTTTTTTCTGAGGCTTCAGCAGTCCTTAGTGTTTTCTACAAATCATTGATAGAAATGTAATTAATGAACTGTACAGAATTCTAAAAAATCACCAGCTTTCTTTTTTAAAATAAATGTTTTATTGTCAAATATATAAAGGTAGAGGGAAACCTCATGGGGAAAAGACATACAAGTTTGGAACCATGCTAAGCAAGATTAGACATTAGAAGACTTTTTTAATACTTGATAATTGTATAATATATTCTAATCAATGCTTTTACCAAAAGTTTTAATTCTTTAAATTGCTAGCAATTCATGATAATGGATCAATGACTTATATGGTCAAACACATGAAAGATCATAGTTCACGATGGATGGTTTTGCTTTAATATTTATATATCCTATATTTGAATATATTTAAAGTTTTAACAAATAAATCGACCTGAATTCAAAATGTATGAGTGTTAATACTTTAGAGGTAATTAATGTCGTAAAACTATTTAAAATATAAAAAAACATTATTCGTACAATTAGAATTAAAACTCTGTATACTAACTGTCGTGCGTGCACGCAAAGTGTTAAACCAATTAGAGACGTGACTACTTAAAATGACTCCATAGTCTGATTCATTGTCAGATAGATAACAAACTGGAATGATTTGAGTGATTATTATGAACTGCCAGTGATTCATTTGACAAGCGGAAGTTTCAGTAAGAAGACGAATACCACACCAATCTATGAGGTAACATTCAGAGGTTTAGAATAAGATTTTTATAAATACGTTACGTTTTTCTCTTTCAGTGCTCCTTTTTCTTTTTCAGTTCCAATCTCGTCCTATTCTTCATCCTGGTTGAGGATTTTTGCTGTCCTTATCCGCTTGTACGGGTTAGCTAATTCCTCCTCCATCTCTTCAGAGGTTTCTGGAAGGTACATTAAGTAAGTTAACAATATAATGTTAACAGGTATAAATTGTTAGGTCTGGGTATATTACGTTAGCAATGTGCTAGTAATTACTAATATGATCTCGACTTTAAAAATAAAATAAGCATTTGTTTTGATGTTATAAAGCAATTTACTGATTTAACGTTAAAACAGAGCAGCAATTAGAGCACTTTAACAATAAAATAACTTAAGAAGTACTTTACCTTCAGAAGACGGTTGGTGACAGTTGACTGACAAGCATTCGAATCGGCGACGTGAAGCGATTCAGTTCTCAATGATTCAAATCTTTTTTCTGAATGATTAATTTTACCATTTATAATGCAAACCACACTGTTATGCCACTAGGTGGACAAAAACAAGCGTCTTTTTAAGTGTGATAGACTATCTGTATGAACCTGTAAAGCCGATTTATTAAAACACAACTATTCCACAAACAATGAATTTATTTTCTTGTAGAAAAAAGTCTATAAAGAATGTTTGTTTTAATGTGTCTACTCAAGTGCATTTTGCCAAATAATACACCCACACACATATATTAGTCATTATTAACTTAAAATATTTTTACAATACTTTTTACAAATAATCTGCAAGCAGAAAAACAGGAAACAAACCTCAAATTGTGTCAACCCTCACTGTAAAAACTAATCTTTAGAATTTACCCAATAAATCTGAGGTAACAATTTTCACAGACTTTGGTTGGGTAGATTTAATCCCATATTTTGAGTATTAACTACCTGAAGTAAAAAGTTATTAAATACGTATATTAATTGGGTAAAAAATACCTCACATTTAAATTTAACAGCTACTTATTCTGTTAAAAATATCTTTTTAAATCATATTTTATTCATATAATTTACTTAATAACAATTACTGTTTCAGAGAAGGTAAAATGTACCTCTATAATAAAGACATTCAAATGGGTTATCAACTCAATGTTTTATTAAATAAATAAATAATCCTAAAACACACTCAAAATATATTGCAGCACAACAGCTTTACACAACATTTCAAGTAATGAACCTGTTTTATAACTCACTGATCTATCAAATGTTTCAATAATGTTGGATAATAAAACATATACCTGTTTTAGGACATCCAGATCAGAGCAGAAAAGAGAAAGGAGTACAGAAGGGAGCAAAATTTTTTTTAAAATGATAGGAGGTGAGACAGTGGACCAGTATGTAGTGCTGTTGCCTCACAGCAAGAAGGTCGCTGGTTCGAACCTCGGCTCAGTTGGCGTTTCTGTGTGGAGTTTGCATGTTCTCCCTGCCTTTGCTTGGGTTTCCTCCGGGTGCTCCAGTTTCTCCCACAGTCCAAAGAAATGTGGTAAAGGTGAATTGGGTGAGCTAAATTGTCTGTAGTGTATGAGTGTGTGTGTGAGGATGTTTCCCAGAGATGGGTTGCGGCTGCAAGGGCATCCGCTGCGTAAAAACTTGCTGGATAAGTTGGCGGTTCATTCCGCTGTGGTGACCCTGGATTAATAAAGGGAATAAGCCGACAAGAAAATGAATGAATGAATTATCGATGCTGTAAAAGGTCCCTTATAAACTGTAAATAGTCACATAACTTGTTCGTCAGATTTCAGTGGCTGAACAACACTTCTGTGCATATAACCCATTCATAACAACCCAGTCTACATCAGCTCTGCATGACTGAAAGATTTTTAAAACAGAACATTACCTGTCTAACAGTAATACTTCAGCCATGGTGTCGTCCTTCCTCCAGCGTGCAAAACTAACTCCAATATTGATTCAGGATTTTTAAAAGTTTTGATTCTGCATTTGTTTTGACTGTGGCTTGTGTAAACGCTCATCAGTGGATCTGCGTTGACATGTGCGCAGTAGTTCAAATCTGCATTTGTTCACAGTTTGGGCTACTTATCAGAATTATGGGAATATTTTGCCTGATATTTTTTTTAATAAGATGAAAATTTTTTTGTTTTATCCCTTAAAAAACAAAAAAAAATGCACGTAAATACATTTAGATTTGCATTTGAGTACTGAAATTAGCATGTAAGCTAACAAATCACTCATGTTCTCATTCACAATCGAGACACTGGGTTTCTCATACAATGATTTATTTGTAGTAATGTTGGAGTTTTTACATGAACGTATATTTAAAGGCGAGCAGTTGTCTATAGAAAGTTTAATTGTCTTCATGAAGAAAACTTGTTTCTTTTCTGAGATAAGTCCATCAAAATAAATGTGTAGTGTTTTGAAACCAAAGTCTTCATTTGTTACCCACAACACATCAAGATTTGATCAAGTCAAAATCTCATAATCTGACACAAATCTCATCTGTCGTAACTGACAAATGGCATTGTGTAGTCTGAACAGGGCTTTAGGGAGTCTAAAAGATAACGACGAAGATAACAGAGGAAAGAATCTCTTGTCCTTTATAGTGAGTCAGGAATCATCTGATTGGTGAATCATGTTTTAGCTAATACTGGACCAGTCGTGAACAATAATAAGCATGTGATCCTCTTGAAAGTAGTTTATAAATAAACTTCATGTCAATGAACAGCCAAACTACATGAAAAAGCTGCCGTTTTATATATACTTGTGTTTGTGTGGACAAGGTGTTAATGTTGAGGACTCTGCTCTGCATTGTGAAGCTTCATGTGAGCGCTGAGGTTTATTTTTTGTTTAAAGCTCTTTCCACACTCACTGCATCTAAAACGATCCTCTCTTGAGTGAGTCTTCATGTGTTGCTTAATGTAGTCTTTGCGTGTGAGACTCTTTCCACACTGATCACATATGAACACTATGTTTCCAGAATGACCATCCATGTGGTTCATGAGGTTAGCTTTACATGTGAAGCTCTTTTCACACTGATTACATGTAAACAGCTTCTCTCTGGTGTGAGTTTTCATGTGGTTAATGAGTGAGCTTTTACATGTGAAACTTTTACCACACTCTGTGCATGTGTAAGGTTTCTCTTCAGTGTGGATCGTCATGTGGGTGTCAAGCTTTTGTTTTTGAGCAAAACTTTTCCCACACTGTGTTTTTCCTCCATTGTGAATTCTCATGTGGCCTTTAAGGGTGCCACTTTGCTTAAAACTCTTTCCACACTGTTGGCATGTGTAGGGCTTTTCTCTAGTGTGAATTCTCTTGTGCGCTGCAAAGTTTCCTGCATAATAGAAGCTTTGTCCACACTGTTGGCATGTGTACGGCCTCTCTCCAGTGTGACTTCTCATGTGGCCTTTAAGTGTGGCACTTTGCTTAAAACTCTTTCCACATTGTTGGCATGTGTACGGCCTCTCTCCGGTGTGTATTCTCATGTGGCCTTTAAGGGTGCCAATTTGCTTAAAACTCTTTCCACACTGTTGGCATGTGTACGGCCTCTCTCCAGTGTGAATTCTCATGTGGGTCTTTAAGCTTCTCTTTTTACCAAAACTCTTTCCACACCGTTCGCAAGTGTGAGGTTTCTCCCTAGTGTGAACTCTCATGTGAACACCAAGGTTAAGCTTTTGAATGAAACTCTTTTTACGCTGTTTACTGCTAAAATTACACTCAGTTTTGGATTTCCGAGGTCTTCCGAGTGATGAAGTCTTTTCAGTCAGTGTGGGTTTTTCATCAGCTGTTATTTCTTGGTGTTGCTCTTCCATTTTATTGCATTGAGTCTCTTCTTTCAGCACTATCAGGTCTAAAAAAAAAAAAAAGAAAAGTGAACTTTAGTATGAAGGCACAAAGTGACAAGCATGAAATGGATGTTTCACCCAAATTTAAAATGACCTCACCATTTACTCTGCGTCTTTTAAATATTTTCTTTCTTCTGGAACACAAAGTAAGCCAGCATTTTTTTCACAATATCTTCTTTTGTGTTCAGCAGAATCAAGAAACTCAAAGATTTAAAGCCACACGAGGGAGAGTAAATGGTGAGGCTATTTTCATTTCTGCGTTAACTATCCCTTTAAAGGGTTCCTATTATGAACCTTTTTTTACAGGATGTAAAGTAAGTCTTTAATGTTTCCAGAATGGGTCTGGGGTTTCAGCTCAAAATCAGAACATAAACCTTGCAGAATATTTAATTTTGGGGGTCAGAGATAAACCAAGCTCTTTTTGTGCCTGTGGCTTTAAATGCAAATGATCAAATGCACTCGGTCTAGATTACTCCTGTTGTGTTCCCTCATGTGTATCTTCCACTCAACATTTTTAACATGCTTGGAAGACCTGGTTGAGACAAATCCTGCATGTTCATAGCAATTACGGATAATTCAGCTTATATTTGTGAGTTTGCATTATTGTATATAACTTATGCAAATGTTTCCCTCTACTGGGTTGCAGCTGGAAGGGCCTCCGCTGTTTAAAACATATGCTGGATAAGTTGGTGGTTCATTCCGCTGTGGTGACCCCTAATGAATAAAGAGACTAAGCTAAAGGAAAATGAATGAATGAACTTATGCAAATGCTTAATGCCACATTTGCTTTAAACTGTAGTGATGAGAGTATGGCAAGAGGACATACTTTGCTACTTGTTTTCATTCATTTGTACTTTTGTCTCAGTTTTCTTGCCTTTGAGCATGTCCGAAGGCTTAGCTGAAGACCTATATGGTGACATTTTATATACTCGACAAGATGCAGAAATGCCATTTTAAAAAGGTTACCTGCTGTTTGTCTAATCGGGAACAGGGACAATGTAAATATACAAATAAAAGCGTTACCCCGGGGTTTACCAATGTGAAACGTCTGTTAATGAACACCCAGGATTATTTTATAACCCCTAAGGGCTGTTTCATAAAAGTGGTTTAAAAAAGCAGGGATTAAAGTCAAAAACTTGACTTTAGTGAGCCGAACTAAATGTCCACACTTTAATTGGTTCCATAACAGCAAGTTGAAGATCATTTGATGTAACAAATCTGAGTTCAGCTGAAATAATCTAGATCAGTGGTTCTCAAACTGTGGTACGCGTACCACTAGTGGTACGCGGGCTTCCTCCTAGTGGTACGCGGAGGAATCGCCAAATAATGAAATAAACAATTAACACTTTTAATCCTTTGATGTGTACTATAACATCGATGTGATCTGCATTGGCTGTTTTCTGTAGAGTACGATCAAAGCGCTGTGCTTAGAGTGTTTATTTTAGTGCAATGTGTCATAAACTGTTGAAAAATCTGATTCTGAAGCGTGATTTGACTGACAAGAAAAGTGGCCAATCACAGTCGACCTTGTCAAGTTTTGCGTGAAACGTAAGGGCGGGACAAAGGCTTTCTGAGTTGCAGAGACAGATAAAAAACATCTTAAATTCTTCTTATTTTTCTGTATTGTGAAGTGAAACTTACTTTTAGCAAAGGTGGTACCTTTTTTATTTCTTTACGACAAAATAATTATGCTGGAAATGTTTCTGGATGAGGTATTTGTGTGATTTATACATTTAGCTGTATTCTGATCTGTCTTAAAGCATTACAGGTCAAAGCAATCCGTTGTTACTTATTGTTTGTCAAAATTAACAATAAGGCTCTTAAAGCACTGCTTTGATAAATGTATTGTTGTCATATTTCAAATACCTCAAGTAAAATAAAGTCATTTGTTTAATTTTTTTACTGACAGTGTACTTGTATTTTTTGTAAAGTTTGTATTTTAGTTTAAGATCAAGGATAAAATAAAATCTACATGTGATGTACAGCTATTTAAGAAACAAAATTGCCATATTGTAAAGAAAAATAGTGTAAAATATGTAAAAAAAAAAAAAAGGGTAAATTTAAATCTTTTCATCATATAGTTTAATTAAACTTTTCAAAGCTTGAAAATATTGTTTAAAAAATGGGCAAAAAGTGTCTCTATGGCCTTAAAGATTATGTGGTAGTTTTGCCATTGCTTTTGAAAAAGAGTAATTGTCATGAAAGGAAAAAATTGACTATACTTCCTTTGTAAGTGCAAATTCCTTTACATTTAGCTTTGGGATTTAAGCAATTAAACCATTCAATCAGGTTTAAACTGAAAAAAAGTGATTTCATAATGAAAATCTGATTTTTTTTCCCCAAAAGTAACCAACTAGTACTTTTTAAAAGAGTACTTTGTACTTTTACCAAATATTAGTATTATTTACTAAAATTTGGGTTATTTTAGCAGTGTAATAGTATTTTTACTTGAGTACAACAAATATTTCACAAGCATTTAGGTCAGGTTTATTATATTATTAATATATGATTAATAAATATGATTATTATTATTATTATTATTAATGCTTTTTATTTGTATCAATTACTATGGAATTTTTTATGGGTTGCTGAGACTACATTTTAGTTCTTCAATACATAGCATGTCAGTCTTGAAAATAAAAAATAGGTGCTTAAAATTCCTTGATTTGCATTAGGCTGTGCCTGTATGAACCCTGTCATAAGTACATTTAACATACATCTGTCAGAAATCAAGATTTGTCAGAAAGTTTATGAATATGACATATAGCCAATATTTAGAAGGTCCAAGCAACATTTCCAGCTTTTGATGAATAGGCTACTATGAATACTTTAGATTTAATTATAGCAGTTTTCTTTTTACTTTTTAAGAACAGTGCCATTTTTTATGAACTTTTAAAAGCACATTTTAATTTAAACATGTTTTTTTTTAATCTGCAAGCACAGTTAATGTTCAGACTATTTAAAATGTTTAAGTGACTGACAATAATACATATTCTTAATGACAGGGATTAATCTGGCTCGTTTTTAAACTGTGCACAGCTTAATTAGGCCTACAATGCTATTTTTAATACTGGCCATTATGGTGGTACTTGGAGAGACATTTTTTTTCTAAGGTGGTACTTGGTGAAAAAAGTTTGAGAACCACTGATCTAGATAACTACTCGTGCACGTAACTGTCATGAAACCCTGAAGGTCGATCACAGATGCATCATTATGATTATGTTGTATGCTACCTTGGCAACTACGATGAATGAAAGAGCTCTGAAACAAGACACCACAATGTTCACAGCGAGTGAATAGCATTTGATTCAAATATAAGTTCAAATATATAATAATTTAAACAATCAAAAAGTACGGCTTGAAAGAAAGCAAGAAAGAGGGCTGACAGGAAACTGCAGATTTTAAAATATAGGTCATTATTTAGGCCTATTAACGTTAAGTTAAATATTTGTCACAATACATTTAAATATTTGCTTGTGCGCAAGAGAGAGAATACACGCTCACTGCAAATTGTAGCTTGCAAGGAAAAGTCTTAATGCATTGGAGGTATACTGTAACATTCAAAATGTACTTAACGTCAGCACAATAAGTTTAAAATAATGGCCACAAAGAGCCGTGCACACACAAGCAGTGGGATTTGTTATTTGCTCTCGAAACTGCTGCAAATTGCTGCTTTCTATTTAAAAATATTTGTTGCCCTTTGAAAACATTTGTTTATTTAAAGTGCTGTCAAAATTAGAGGGTTAACTCATGCAATTAATTTGATATATATATATATATAAAATGTTTTTAAAAAAATGAACGCAGTTGCTGTTATACTTCCTGTTGTAGTCATGCAAAGAAATATGCATAAGACCAAGGAAGCACTTTTAGAAGGAACGTTTCAGTATAAAATAATTACTGAAAAAAATTAATGCTGCATTACCAGGCTTTTCAGCATTTCATCTAATTTAGTACGTTTCATTTTTAATCTTTAGACTTTTGCTGTAATAGAAATTGATACACCATACCGAACGGAAAGAAAAACCTCTGCATTTCGTGACTCTGTGTTCCTTTAAGGTAATAAAAAAAATAAAAATAAAAAAAAACTGTTTACATGGTAGACTCTTAATAAGAGTATTAATCATATTAAAATGGGAGTATTGGTGTTCATATAAATGTACTCAGTGAAAGTGCCAGATAATGTCGCGAGCTGTCCAAGACATCTGTATTCGTCTGCCTTTAAGATGATTCCATGTGCGCTCAAATGATTTATTAAGTTTGATGTGTTTCCTCCTTAAGTGCAAATTTTGTACAGCGTCTGCTTCACGTTGCTTTGTCAGAATCCTTGTGAAATGTAGCCATACTTAAGAACACATGGTTTAAGCAAATTTGATGAATGTGATCGCATAAAAAAATGCGAAAAATGCGAAAACGCATTAGTGTAAATGGGGCCAAAGTAGTGACCTGGGGCCTCATGTACGAAGACTTGCGGGGAAATCTTACTAAAACATTGCGTAGGCACAAAGCTGTAAATGTGCGTACGCAGAAAAAATTTCAGATGTATGAAACACTGCGTACGCCGAATCTCACGCATATTCTTTTGTACATCTGAATGAACGTGAAACTGAGCGCAACATGCACGAGCACAAAACCCCTCCCTGCCTCCTCCCCCGTATGAATATGCTAATGACTATGCTAATGGCAAAACCCAACGAAAAAGCAATGGCAAAAGCAAGCAAAAAGAGAAACTTTGAACAGAATGTGAATTGGAGGTGCTGCTTTCGGAGGTAGACCGGAGAAAAGCGGTGTTATTTGCAAGTTTGTTTTCCGGAATTAACAACAAGAGAAAAAAATAGAGTGGCAGAGTTTAGCTGATGCGGTTAACACAGTTGGGTCTGAACATCGCACTGAGTGCATTAAAGAAAAGAAATAGTGTGGTTTATATCTGTAAAATGTTGCAGTACCGTTAACTGTCTCAGTGGCGCACCTCGTTAGACGCATGTGATCATGAATAGACACGTTCGAGCATGAACTCGGCTCGAATCCAGCGTCTGATGAACTCTTTCTTGTTTTTTCCCCCGCTACATATCAGATTTTGCCAACTATTTATCACGAGAAAGACAAGTAGGAATCATCTATAAGTTCATATCAATAAGCATATTTTATTTGCACATTTATTGAATGGAAATGTTTCTGATTCACGCATGCAAATTCATCTTCAGATAGTGTCTTTATAGCAATGTGCGTGCAGTAGATCGCTCAGATTACATTGGGAAAACAGGCGACTGCTGCAAATTGTGCTTTAATGTTTGGCTGGTCAAATGTATGGTATGGAAACCTTATATACCTGCTGAACCCGTCTCATACAGCTGCCATTGCAAGGCTCAGACACTTTGTAGAGAGGAATTTAACACAACTGCCTCTAGGAGTCGCCAATGGAAATGTGCGTACGCCTGCCAGAAAGCTGCCGTGAAGCTGCGCACATTTCCACGTTCAGTTCATTGTTAGTAAATCCAAACGTGAGCGATTCTGAGCGTGAAACCTGGCGTACGCAAAGTTTTTGTGCGTATGCAGCGTTGATACATGAGGCCCCAGATCTTATATGCTATTGTTTTAGAACCTCCAATTTAGTTGCCTATTGGAGAAATGACCTGGAATAATAAATGGCTACTTGCTCTACAAACAAGTGTGTTCATGACTATACATACAAAGAAAAATAATTAAATGAGAAAATATAACTTTGCAACATCAAGCAGCATTAGTCATGGGCCAGTATAAGATTCTGACGGTATGATAAGCTTGGATATAAATATCACAGTTTCACTGTATTGTGATTACTGCTCTAAAATGTATTCTTTTTAATCCCTGGGTAAAAAAACAAGAACTTTTTCCCTTTGAACACAATATATTTTCTTTTAAGAAACTTTGAGGCTCAGTTTCACAAACAGGGCTTAGATTAAGCTGGGATTAGTCCTTAGTTAAATTAGGCTATTTAAGCCAAATTTATAAAAATGGCCTTAGTAAAATATATTACTGGTGTGCACCTGGAGGAAAAAAAATACACTGTATTTTATCTCACGGAAAGTTATTTTGAGTTGAGACCGCTCAAACATGCAATTTAATCTTGACTAGCCTTAAACCTTGTTTGTGAAACCGGGGGAGAAAGTATTATGGAGCAGTAAACATGTCAGGCTGAATCATTCAAATGAATCATTCGTTTCAAAAACACAGATTTCTTTACAATTTAAAATGGCATCTTTGGATATCTTTTTTGCTGGAGATACTGTTGTCTTGAAAAACTTATAACAAAATGTAAAAAAAAAAAAAAAAAAAAAACTTACATATACTGTCGTACTGTGGTATACCTTGAAAACGGTTACCTAAGCATACCTAAGCAGAATAACCCTGTTTTAAGGATCTAAAAATAAATTCTTTAAAAAAGTCTCAAGTAAAAAGATTCCAATGGCTGCGCCTGCTGGTACATGAAGAATTTGGTCAATACTGACGAACTTCACACTCAAATGTTTGCACATCCTCAGCATGCTGTAATCCATTTCTTAAACAGAAAAAGTCATTTTTAGACTAGTTTGTTGGCCAGTTGTAGTCAGTGTAATGCTAAACGTTATTGTTCCACTATATTTAGTTTGTTTTGTCTTACGTCATCCCACAGCAACATCTTATAGCTTAGATTACTGTACAATGTTTTATAACAATTATTGTAGTGTCCATTTCATTCAGCATATTTAATATTGGGGGCGTCCACATCATTTGACAAACTGTAAAACAAGGTTTCTGCAGGTTTCTTTTTATGACATTTTTGAGACCATTATGAATGACGTTTTAGACCCATAAAGGGATAAAGCTAAAGAATTTTTCAAATGGTCCAGATGGAAAAGATTTTTATTTGCCCCATTAAAAAAATAAATGAAAAAATTAATTATATATATTACAATAATAAATAAATAATAATTCTTTATATGTATTTTAGATATTTGTAGCTAAAGATTTTAAATTTTGTTTGATTTTGGATCTTAAGACATTTTATGACGCCGTGGAAACCCTGTTTAAACACAATAGCCCAGGTAATTAGTTAGTATAATAATGACGTAATTCTAACTAAGACACATAGAGGTAAAGTTGGTTTTATATTCACACATTCGTTCATTTAGAAGTCTATATATTGTTTACCATGTTACTTTGAATATTCGATTTAAATTAGCATGCAAGTGTGACTTGAAAACAACATTACACTGTTTATTTAACTGTGAACAATGTTGTACTTAGATAGTCATTGGCTGATAATATAATTTCACTGTTTAGAGTTTGCAAATAATACTTTTATGAAATTATATCATTAAGGGGAAAGTCAGAATGTGCGAATTATAAAACCAACTTTACCTCTATCTCAGACACTATCTGTAAGACCTAGTAACAACTACTAGAAACAAGTTTAAACTCATAAAGAAGTTGATGAAAAAAGGGAATTGTGATCGACTTGACGTATGCAAATGGAAAGTACTAAGCCAACACTATTACTGTAATAGCAGATATCTTTTATGAGAACACTGTCAGTCAAATATCGTAAGCTCAGTTAAACTTTAATTTATTTTATAAAGCGCCGGTGCTCAAAGACGCTTCACAAACAGCAGGAGAACAAGAAAAGCAATAACCTTAAGAAGGTAGAGAAAATGGGAGACTAATAATACATAAAATAATGACAAAAGACATGAGAACAAATGACGAAAGAAACTCATTACTCTCTTTCAATGAGTGCTTATGTGCATTTAGGAGAACTAGGCAGCACACTCAGGGCTGCAAGATGGATTTAATTGAGTGTTCTTACTATTAAAATATATCTGAATGAGGATCAAATGACTGAGTTGGTGTTTGAGAATGAAAACCAACCTGTTTGTTCCTGTGGATCTTCCTGTTTGACTGTGAATGTCTCTTCAATCTTCACATCTTCACTCTCCTCTTTAATAAACGCCATCTTTATAACAGTGTGGAGATCAGTCGCTTCAGCAGGAGTTTTTCTCTGTGTTTGGACACTTTATCCTGTTTAAAATGTACAAAACAATAAAAATGTCCTGTTTAAAATAAATAAAACAATGAAGCAAAATAACTTCTATTCAACTCTTGCTTCAACAGTTTATTTTAAGCAGCGTAATTAACAAAAAGAAATCAGGTAAAACATTTAATCAAAACACTTATTACACACTTTTCTGTTACATTATTCAAACAATAGCCCTCGATTATTGAGAATAAAATAGTACTACGTTGTATAAAGGGTTAAAATAATATTTCCAACAGCAGGAACATAATTTAGCACCATATAAAAACCCTAAAACTTTGGAACTTTAACTTTAAATCGGGTTATATCTGTAAAACTTTTAAAGCAAACCTTTCTCCAGTTGAATCACCGTGCTGTAGCGGCGCCGCCTGATGACGTCACATGCCACGCCAAAATAAAAGTCTTTTTTTGTTTAACTTTTTTGCCATTCTAGGCAAGGCAAACTTTATTTATAGAGCACAATTTTACACAACCGTAGTTGATCTAAAGTACTTTACAATAAAATAAACTACACAATAAAACTAAAAAACTAGTATTAAAATACAAGAAAATGTATGTTTAAAAGTAATACTAAAACACAAATAAAAAATAACATGCATTTGTCAAAGGCAAGAGAGTAAAAATAAGTCTTTAAGTTAGATTTAAAAGTATCCAATGATGTAGCAATCCCGATGTTCAGAACGTTCCAGAGCCATAGAGGTAAGTTGGTTTTAAATTAGCACATTCTGACTTTCCCCTTAATAATATAATTTTATAAAAGTATTATTTGCAAACTCTAAACAGTGAAATTATATTATCAGCCAATGACTATCTAAGTACAACATTGTTCACAGTCAAATAAACAGTGTCAATGTTGTTTTCAAGCCACACTTGCATCCTAATTCCAATCGAATAGTCAAAGTAACATAGTAAACAATACAGAGACTTCTAAATAACCTAATGTGTGAATATAAAACTAACTTTACCTCTATCACAGAAAGCTTTCACCTTTTAATTTGAAGCGAGACCGAGGGACAGACAAAAACTGGTCATAGAGGTAAAGTTGGTTTTATATTCACACTTTCGTTCATTTAGCAGTCTATATATTGTTTACCATATTACTTTGCACATCATTATGCACATGTTACATGTCTATATATTATGCATCTGTTACTTGTCTTTATTGCAGTTATTTTAAGAAAGTTTTGACATTGAAACGTGGTATTAAATTTCACATCACATGATTCTTCAGAACTTAATAAATATGCAGATTTGCTGCTAATGAAGTAATATTTGTGATTTTCATTTTGTTTAATTCATTTTGTTTAAAAACTTTTGCTTTTGTTTTCCACATCAACTGAAAAGGAGGTCAAAGTTTAACCTAAGTGCCGTGTAGCTGATGAACATTAGTAGCTACGTTTCGAAGTGTATATTTCTTCCTCAGGCTGTGTGCAAGAACGTCGGATTTGTATAGAAGATCAGTGTCCTGTGAGTGTCCAAAGAGAGCAGCTTCACAAAAGGTGAGCTGGTGAGTGTTCCCTCCCTATTTATAGCCCTGCTGTGAGGGAGGGGGGAGGGGGGAGTGGGGGAGTGGCTATGATCAGTGTGTGAGCTGGTTTGTTCAAATGATTGTTTTTAATCGTATTTTAATGTGTATTTTTTTGTTTTTAATATATTTAATCATCCTGTTGAAATAATTAAGTGTTTGTTTTGTTAGAAAAATTATTTGTTATGAGTATTTCCCTGCTGAAAAAACCAGCAAAGACCAGCATGATTTTCATGCTGGTCTATGCTGGTCAATGCTGGTTTAGCTGGTTTACCAGCTTGGTCTTGCTGGTGATGCTGGTAGACCAGCTTGGTTTTGCTGGTTGACCAGCTTGGTCTTGCTGGTAGACCAGCTTGGTCTTGCTGGTGATGCTGGTGGACCAGATTGGTCTTGCTGGTGATGCTGGTAGACCAGCTTGGTCTTGCTGGTGATGCTGGTAGACCAGCTTGGTCTTGCTGGTGAAGCTGGTAGATAAGCTTGGTCTTGCTGGTAGACCAGCTTCGGCTTGCTGGTCAGGCTAGTCTACCAGCTTGGTCTTGCTGGTCATGCTGGTCTACCAGCTTGGTCTTGCTGGTTATGCTGGTAGACCAGCTTCGGCTTGCTGGTCATGCTTGTCTACCAGCTTAGTATTGCTGGTGATGCTGGTCTATGTTTGGTGGACAAGCAAGACAAAACTTGGTTGTTAGTTTTGGTGAAAATTATCATCGTAGTATATTATTGCATTTATGGGAACTGCACAAACTCCAGCCTGTCAGCATATCAAGTCCACAAGTTTCCCGTTGCTATTTTGGTTCATTTGTGTTAGTAAAATGGAATGAATCCGATAAGACCGAAAGCTCATGTAAAAATAGTGAAATACATGCTCCTGGATCAGTCAGAGATGCAGCTTGATGAAAATGAGATATGTACATGGTAAGACAACTTGTTTTTATTTTATATTTGTCAACTTTCAAATCAGTAAGCATGATTATTTGAGTAATTAGAAGCAAAGCAATGTGTTTATTTGGAGTAGCCTCCAGTACAGCACTTGTTTGCTTAGTTAATTAATTTATTGTCATGTGATGTGTTTATAAGGCGTTGGGAGATGCATCTGCAGCAGTGATGCTGACCAGGAGCTGAAGGCTTTCTCTCCACAGGCCTCTCACTCAACTGTGCTTCACTTTGGCTCACAGAGTAACCTCAGACCTTCACCTCGTTCATCAGGTAGATTATTATATTATATCTTAATTATACTTGGTATTATCTGTTTAAAAAAGAAATAGAAGGGTAAAAAAATTACTGGAATATTTCTATATAAGCCAGGCTGGTAAAACTCAAACATTATCTTTGACTTCCTTTTTTTATATATTGTAAACGTGTAACCATTGACTTGCATTGTATCTATTTTCCTACTATAGAAGTCAATGGTTACAGGTTTTCAGCTTTCTTCAAAATATCTTCTTTTGTGATTAACAGAAGAAAGAAAGTCATAAAAGATTGGAACCACTTGAGGGAGAGTAAAAAATATTCTGTCGTCAATGAGGAAAATGCACTTTTTATTTACATATGAGGATTATTAAGCTTGTAGAAGAAAAACAAATAACATTTGGAAAACTGAAGTTTGGGTAGCACTATAATAACTACACACTATAAGCCATTTATTAAGCATTAGCATCTAATGAATTTATTATCTGTTGAGCATTAACTCTACATTAATAAGCATTAGTAAGCAGTTTATAACTGCAGCTACAAATAGAGTATTCTTGACTTACAACCACATTTATAATGTGCTTAATAATTCTACTTTCATACTTTGTTAATGATTTATTTTTCATTACTAAATTAAGTCTTGCATTATTGCATTATTTACAAACCATTTGTATTCAAGAGTAGTTGGAGGTTTTTAAAATCATTCAGAATGAGTTAGTAAATGATTAATAAACTATTGAAATCAACGTTTATATATCTTATCTTATTATTCAGGCATATAGTAATGGGTACTATGTATGCTAATAAATGCTTTATTAACTCAACTTCAACCAGTTTTGTGACCTAAAGTGAGGACTGTTTATGCTTTATAAATCCCTTATAAATGACAATGTGGTTATAAATGTGGTTCAAGAATACAGCATTTGTAGCGGCAGTTATAAACTGCTCACTAACATTCATTAATGTAGAGTTAATAGTGTGTAGTTATTATAAAGTGTTACTTAAATATTTGTTTATGAAGGTCTAGTTATCCATGACACTTAATGTTACAATTTAAAAATTATGAGAGTAAATCTAGTAAATTTTACTACACCAAAAAGTAATTTCCTTCAGTTTACCTCTGAAAGAGAGAATAAATATTTTTATGGTTTAAATTCCTAAAGTTAAGTTTCTGAGTTACAATCCAACTAACGTCTAAATATGCCAAAGATTTTATATATATATATATATATATATATATATATATATATATATATATATATATATATATATATATATATTATACACAAAAAAAATGATATGTTGGCTTTAATTAACTTTATGTCAACAGGTTCCACGTAAAGTTAAGTTACCTTAAAGAAAGAATATTCATTTGAGTGAACTTAAGTTAGTTAAATAAAAGTAAGGTAAGGTTGCTTAGTTCAATCAACACAACATTTATAATTTAGCTCTAATTTATTTACACTGCTAAAAAAAATTCGTTAAATTTACTGAAAAATACCGGCAGTGGTTGCCAGGAATTTTCTGTAAAAATACGGAAGTGTAGGACTGTTTAAATTTACAGAAAATAACCATATTATATCAACTGATACAATGCTTAGTTCACAAAATCCCAGTTTAGCTCACAAAAATGTAAAGTCATTCAATGCACTAATGTGTTCATGTATGTATAACTAGCAAACAGATTTCACTGATTAGTAACTACACAGTTACTTTTAAACAAAAGAAGATGCAGCACAACATCAGCTATCCTTAGTTTATATTGGACTTGCACACAGATGCTACTATCCTCCACAATATATCCAACTCAAGCAGAATATTCCTACGTGCTTGCTTCTCTGCACCTTCAATTCTGCTTCTTTCTTCAGTGAAACTCCTTACGGTATTAATGTTAATACGTTCGTCAATGGCCTTTCTCCAGTCAACCGTCGGCCACTCTTTTTCTACTTCAGCCAAGTTCCACTTAACTGTCAGATTCTTTAGGTGTTTATTTATTTTTTTTTTTTTCTGTTAAAGGGCACCTATGGTGAAAAATCTACTTTTCAAGCTATTTGGACAAACATATGTGTATATATAGTGTATAGACCATCATATTGGGATGATATAAAAACACCCAGTCCTTTTTTTTCAATTTAACAACATAAAAACGGTGGACCAATTAGAGTGGTTTTCAGACCGACTGCAACTTTACATAGGAGTGCGGTCC